ATGCAATCTGTTTCATACAACAAGACTTTTATTCCAGTGTTTCATTTGGTCTCCTGAAAGGTTCTGGTTCTGTGGGTGTTTCTTGCGTTTCCGGTTTGTTCAGCAGGGGTCTCCGGATCCTGCAGTCCGTCAGAGGAGGAGCTACCGGACCCGCCGGGCTCTTTAACTTTTCACAGCTCTCATGGAGTTCTTCTGTGGAACCGTGGAGCAGAACCGACCCGGAAAAGGTAAGGGACAGAATCAAGCTGATAATTTTATCTGTTTTTTTTTCTTTGATCTGCGCGTCTTCAAACCTTCAGCGCGCGTCAAGTTATTTTAATCAGCAGCACTTGAGATGCTGCTAGGAGACACGTGGGTCTGCCGAGAAAACAGATAAACAACAAACTAAACAAACAAAAAAGATTTTTCCTTCACTCGGCTTCCTCTGGTCCTGGTGATGAAATACTGTATTAGTTCAGGTCCACTCCCTCTGAGCAATAAAAAGCTAAAATTTCCAGATGAATAGTTTTTAGGCAGATCCACGTCAGCAGAACTTGTTCCTCCAGAGTCCTGTTCTGTGTCCTAAAGGTGGAGCAGACCCACCTGCAGCAGGATAGACTACAGCYGACTTTAAAGGGATATTTCAGCCATTTTTAAACAGGGTTCTGTGAACAGTCTATAAATAGGCTAGATAATATCTCACCTATTGTAGATGGCTCTTGGAACGACCTCTGTTGCAGAAATGGAGTTTAAATGTGACGAGTTAATGGCTATTTCAAATTAAGGCTGCGTCACACTTCAAGATTTTAAAAGTCGGCCGATTTTCAAAAACTGATAGAGCCCACACCTGAGGATAAAAAATCATGGATATACCAGGTTTGTTCCTACAGTGTGTGGTGTACAGCCACATGGCAAGAGACAACACACCACACACGAAACTATATTTCATTCATGAACATTCAGATGTCAGATATTAAAGCACGCGAAACTTCCTGAAATMTTGAGAGAATTCATATGTTCAAGGAAAAATCTCATATGACCTCCAGAGAGACGTGAGTTCAGAGTAAGTTACATTTGTAACAAGGAAGAAACAATGCGGATCATTTGTGGACTATTTTTTACCAGGGGAAAACAATTCCATAGGACTTTTAACATCCAGCAGACTTTCTGGTGAGTCATGACAGTTTTTTTGGCTTCTGCATTTTGGAATCCCCTCTGTGTTTACATCACCTCGCTTTCTGATTGGCTACACGTCTCATTCACAGGCTGAGAGCTCAGGTGAACACTACACACACTGCGATATTGGGCCAAAAAATCAAACATGTTGAATATCCCCGATTTGAGGTCGGAGTGGTCCCGACTTCCTTCCGAGCCGACTAGATCACTCTTAACTCACCACCCATGGCAGGAATATCTGCTATGATTATCTTTAGAACCATCATGATAATCTGGACTTCCTTAAGATTGTCGGAAGGGCAAAAATCGGCCTGATTATTTTGTAGTGTGACGCAGGCCTTAGAAGACCAAAGTGGACTGCTGCCTTCTTGAAACCACTTAGATTTCCAAACTTTAAAGTACCCGTGAAATTTTAAAAAAATAAGTATAAAAGCATATTAGAAAAAAATACAATAACATATTGCAAAAACTAAAAATCGAAAAAAAATCACACCGCTGAGATATTTGCATGTGAATTAACAGGAAGTGATGTCAACTGGGAATGTGAGCAGAGCGTTGCTATAACAGCTAACAACACAGACTGTAGAGAAGAATCTGATGTTTCTTTAGATTCTTGAAGACCAAATTCAGTCACTGTAGCTGGAGAGAGACAGCCTCTCCAAGACTGATGTAATTTGTGTCAAAAGTAGAGACTTCAAACTATAAACCAGCTTTTAAATTGTGTTGATCAAATTGTGTTGACGCCACTTTTTTTTTTCTGGAAATGATCATCCTGTTTGAGACAGCAGGAGATATGGGAATCTCGTGGGGGGGAAAAAACTCAATCCACGGTCAGTCTCATCCCTCTCTAGAGCTGAAAAAACATAAAACCCCCGGATTTCATAGTTAGGGTCTAGTTTAGTGTTTGGTCAGACTTCAGTGTTTGAATCAAGACATTGAGGTGATTTTTGAAAATGGAGGGGCACTCGGTGGTCTGCACAGATGAGCGAATGACAACATGCCCACCTGGGGTCTCTTTTTTAAAGGATTGCCTGGAAACCATACTAAAAGTGAACTTACGGCCAAAAGGCGGAAATGGCGTACGCCAAAAAAAAATTCAGATTAAATAATAAAACCGTGCATACGCATGTTTCTGCGCATCTTTCCTTTATAAATCACAGCCGCACGTCAGAGTTTGCGCACGAGGTCCCGCCTCAGGTTCTACCCTCTACACCAGGGGTGTCAAACTCCTGTCCTCGAGGGCCGCTATCCTGCATGTTTTAGAGGTTTTCTTGCTCCAACACACCTGATTTTGATCGCTGGGTAATTAACAG